TTCGACGTCCGTCCGACCGTTGCGGTCGTGTTGCATGCGTGCGACGGCGGCCCTGGCCACTTGTCCACAACACTGGATCACGTGCCAACAAGTGGCTAGAGCCGCCGTCACACGCACGCTACGCGGCCGCAACGGGCCGGACGGACGGACGGACGGACGCGAAGTCTGAAAGCAGCCGACGTGGAGAGCATTTAGCACTAAATACTGATGCTTGAGTAGTTTTGCGCATCAGCAAACAAGTAACCTTCAAGGACTTTCCGGCCAGCTATCCAATGCTTGGTATTTCAATTCAAATTCTTCTTCGGTGTTTCCTTTGCGTTGTGATAAGCGGACGCTGGCACCTGCACCATTATTTAGGTTTCTCTCAAGGTATGATTTGAGCTCGGTAGGAATCGACTCCCCGAAATTCGAAATGCAAACATGAGCTCATATCCCCATGCATCTTGCTACTCCTGCTGCTCAATGCTGCATTTCTCGCATGACAGTCTCTTGTACCGTTGAAGCGACTTGTCTCGGGTACTTCTTATCCGGATACAACTGCTTGGGAATGACTCAGCCTGCACATCTTTATGGTCTCCTTAACTCCAATGAATTCAACTGATCGCAAAAATGGATGTTTAGAGAAAATTCATTCATCAACTACTAATGTTCGCCTCCTGTCTGCCCAATCGAGTTAATGCATGGTGAGGAATTTTAAGAGTTAGAGGATTCTCCTAGATAGGATCAAGCGTGGCATTGCCAGAATCTACTTTTCCATGTCTATCCTTGCCACCTCTTCGCCCCCTCCCATACCCAAAAAAAAACGATCCTATTTCCTACTTTTTAGAGAAGAGGGGAGCCTATCAGGGAGTAACACAGTCGCTCGCTTTTGCGGCTCTTCGAAAATCCTCAAAGTCCAGGTCTAACTCGACTCATTCACCCCTTTTCCCATAGGAGGACCCCTACTTCCGTGGATTACCTGATACACGCTTGACCCTCAATCTAGTTGCCCTTTATACACATTTCAGCCTTTCTCAATTTTTATTTATTTGCTTATTTGAGTGATGATCCAACGATCAACAGAAATATCAAATATTGCCTGGAATATAGAACAAGGGACAGGCAATTGATAAAAGCTTTCCGCAATTGTGCAGAGGTAAGTATATACTTGGAAGGATTCCTTGTGATGGTAAGTTGGGGCACTATCACACACGCATGGTCCGGGATTGAATTCCTCATCAAAACTTGCTCATTGTCAGACCAACCAAGCCTTCCACCCCTCCGAGGCCGATTAATCGGTACCAGACCCATCTGGTCGGATAAATTGTATTTATATCAGCTGGCTACCGCAACTCAGTGTATAAACCACGTACGCATCCAAAAAAGCCACTATGGTTTTGATCTGAAGAGGAATGCGGGAGCTCATCTCAAAAATGGGATGCAATAGGGCCCCAGACTTTACTCTTTGGGCTGAAGATGCATCCTTGACATAGGACACAAGGGCTAACACTAAAGGTAAGGCGCAGCCAGCAGGTACGAAAATTTTGGGTTCCTGTTTAATTTGTGGACAATGGGAGACGAACACGTCAGGGAGGACTGAAGCTCGATTCTCTCACTGGCTTCCTCTCCTGCTTCTTTCTCACCATCGGTTATGTAGGGGGAAATGCATTCAGTGCGACCATTGGACAGAAGTGTACGGCGCACTATAATAGGGGTAATTTGAAGCCGAGATCTGCACCTTTTTACGTGGTTTCACTTTCCCCCAAAGCTTTCCCTTCGTTCCGTAATTGAAGAAGGAAAAGAAGAAAAGCATTGGCGGT